CAAGCCAAGCTAAGCCTCCACCAAGCCCTCAGCCTGCCGTCAGCCTCTGAACCCTCCTGGGTTTCTCCCCCTCTGCTGCTCTGCTCAAACTCCAGGACAGTAACCCAGCCGTGACCAGCCGTGGACCTGATTATTCCCCTGACCTGTTTTTGCACCTCTTCTTTAATTAAACCTTTGAACTTTTTCCCTGTCTCCGAGTTGTGTTCTGCATATGGGCTAGCATCCAGAAACCCATCATGACAGGTTGCTTTTGTAATCCAACAGACCCTGGAACAAACTACAGGCAAGAATTCTATTATTCTAATAAATTTAAAGGGCTGGGTCCTAAATATCCCATCTTCCCACTAAAATGAGTTTGTTGAAAATAAAATGAAATACACTTTAAGCAACTAACCTGTCATACCAAACTTGTGTTTTCACTTCTAACATGAAGTTAACTACACTTTAGTTCCTCCTGTATACATAAGCAAATAAATAAAGAGTCATTACTATTATCCATTGGTAAAAATAATATCTTTAAAATGTACCTTAGTGAGCCACTGAATACAAGAAGCTGGGTTAGCTGATAGAAATACAAGATATATTCAAAAATTGATCATTTACATATATTAAACTGCCCTATCACCCACCCCTCCTACTCCTGGGTGGGGTGGGTGGTTTCTTTCATCTCCAGTTCAGATCCTCTCCCAGAGGCCCGAGGAGTTTGAAGGTTCTTCTCATTATCTTATCTGTTCCTAAAACTGAGATCTCTCATGTTTCTCCAGGTATTTGTTCGAGCCATTTCTGCAGTCTGGAGGTGACTGCCCTGGATGCTCCAATGACCGGGAACACTACAATTGTTGTTACCTTCCAGGCTCTCTCTATTTCATTATTTAATAGTCAATATTCAGAAAATTCCATCCTACTAATGTTTAAAGTTATCACACAGGGAATATTTCTCTCCTAATATGGAGCTGAGCTTAAAATTCAAGTGTCAGATACTCTACAATCAAAATATAGGGAGATGTCTATTTATAATTCTAATTAAATAATACAGGTTTGATTCATGTTGAGTTAAATACCTCAAAAGCAGGGACGGATGGCCTGTTGTTTAAAAGATAGTGCTTGGTGAAGGAATGCTGCAAGTTTCCTAGTTTGATTCCCCAAAAGTGGCACTCTCACCAACCACCAGCATGAGCCCAGAAATACTCCATAAAAGATGGGTTAGATAGAAGGACACATTTTCTTTAAAGAATAAAGATTATAATAACAGCATTTCAATCAGAGAGGTGGACGTGTTTTTATCGAAGAAACAGGGAGTTGATTTACTATATTACAGAGTAAAACAAGAAATCTAATGTGTGAAGTTAACAACCTCTGGATAATATTTATGCTTTGCTCCTATAAAAATGACTCACGGATCTGGGAAGATTCTCAGTCATCCAGGTCATGGTCAAGCTTGATAAAGCACCTCTACCTACTGTATATTAATCTCATTGCTCCCCACCACTAGTTAGAACTATGGAAGCCTCTTAGATTAGAGCCTTTTTTAAGCATGACTCAAAGAGTTTTATGGTAAACTAGATAAAACAAACAAGAAAAAATATAAAAATTGGCTGCTTTTAATAGTAACAGAAAGGAGATACAGAAAGCCATCCTATTGATAAGGTGGACTTTGCCTCCTGCTAAGAGACAAAGGCTATGTTCACACAGCAGCCTGAAGTGACCCAAATCCGATTTTTTTGTCCATATGTGACCTGGATCTGATCTTTTCATGGCTGTCTGAACAACACAGATCCGATTTTTTTCAATGCGACCCAGGCCACTTGGCTATGTGGTCCTGAATCCGATACGAATCTGATCTTTTCAAATGCGACCTGTGTGTAAACGGCCAGGTCGGATTCATCCAACCTGAACGTCATTAATACCCGACAAAGGTCACTATTCTGCATCTTGCTACGCAGAAGCGGCAAGAAAAACAACAACAATGGCGGACGATGATGCGGAGAGTAGTATTTATGTTTAAATATATTGAAAAGATTGTGTTTTTATGGTTGGTGTTTTTATAGTGTGCCGGCACTACCATCCATGTTTACTTCCGTAAACACAGAGCACTCTGGCCTGTGACATCATCGCGTCCTCTAATGTGCATGTGGGACACTTGGGTTGTATGACTGCAGTTCACACAGGAGGAGGATATAAATACGACAATGCAAAAAAAATTGGATTTCACAAAAAAAATCTAGCATCAAGGGCTGCACTTTGAACGTAGCCTAAATGTTAGAATATCCTGGGAGTTTAAAGTTTAAGATGCTTTGTCCTTTTTTGATGTACTGAAAAAGTGTGGATAAACAAAATAGTCTGATCAAGCTTTATGTATTGGTCTTTCATTTGAGCTTGCTTAGCTGAGGGCCTCTGTCAGTCAGTCCATCATTATTCTCATCTAGGCGTATCTCTCCTCTGACCCAACAGTAAGCTCTTCATAGTGTTCTTCATGGAAACCTTGGAGGTTTCTTTTTTAGAAGACTTGAAAAGTGACTGTATCCAGTTAAGGTCAAATTAGATTAAATTATCTTAACAAAAAAACAATTTATATCTTTAAAAATAGGGTTTAAATGGAAAGATATCGGACTGACTCTGAGAAGGAATTAATTCTAAATCGGCAAGATTTAGTCAAACATTAAGGCAGGTATCAACTGAAAAGAATATCTATCAAAAGAGAAAAAATACAAATAAATCATCAGTTATTTCAACAGGTTCTAAATCAGCAAAAAATAAAATAAGTTTACTTGAACCTCTTAAGAGCTATGTATGTAGATCATCTATAAACACAATTTGCTGAATAAGTGTCCCATTAAAGTCAATGTAATATGATGATGAGATTGTTAAAGTCATGTAAAAGTATGAATTTAAAGTCCCTGGATTCAGCTTAAAAATTTGATTTGATCTAGAAGCTCAGCTCTATATCAGCACAGAAATATTATCTTTATCGATTATTAGTTGGGTGCTTATTTGCTGTATATTGCTGTAGTTTTATCTCCTAGAATATTCTCTCTTCATTTTTAGCAGGAGAGAAAGTCCAGCTCATCAAGAAGATTATTTTTTCTTGTTACTTTTAAAACCCTTTTTTTTTTTTATCATATTATTTGCTTGTTTGTTTTATCCAGTATACCATTAAGGAAAACTGTGTGTCATTTTTGTTGGAGCAAAGTATAAATATTTTGTGTTTTCTTCACACATTAGAGTTCTTGTTTAACTCTGAAATATAGTACATTTCCTACCTTTTTCCAGTAACACACCTATTCATAAAAAAATGTCTCTGTATTTAACCTGCAAACTCATGTGTTTTCTGGGTTAGACATTTAACACAGCACAATAAAGTAACCTAACTTTCTACTCTACCTGCTGCTGAATGTCTGACTCAAACTCTACAACTAAGTCTTTGACCCTTCTAAGTTCATCAGCAAGAACATGGTGGAAGTTAGGAAAAATATCAGAGAAATCTCACTTTTTATGTTTCAATATGCACTCCTTAAACAATTAACATGACCAATGATATTGTTAATTTAGAGCAAGTTTATTATTATATCAGATAACAGAGTAACCAAAAAGATCTTTACGAGGGTCTTGTCTAACAGATACACATGAGATGGGGATGGAGGTGAGGGGTTGGGGGGATTTGAGAAGGCAAATATTTAGCAAATATACAGAAATAAGATAAGAGGACAGAACATTTCTAACCTAAAAGCTGATATGTGTGACTGGCTTTCTGTTTCTAGGTCTAATGTGTTGGGATCTGGAGGTCTGTCCACTTTTCTCCACCAGAGGGCGTTCTAGGTCTCCTGGAGCTGGAGCTGACTTCACCACCTGCGGCTCGTTTGCTCATCAGGAGACCAGTACTTAAGGAGGCGGAGAGCTACACTCCGACGCCAGAGTGTTTGCCAGTTATGGTTAGCAAGCCTGAGCCAACCTGCCTGTCTGAATCTCTGACTCCCAGAAAACCTGAACCTGATCTTTTTGTCCTCTCTGCTTCCCAGGTTGTACCTGCCTGAAACCTGACACCTGAAAACCTTGAAGAGTTTCTCTGTTGGAAATCTGTCAGTCTGATCTCAGAAGAACCCTGGAGAATCAAACATGTCAAAGATCTGCCTGCCCGCTCTCTGAAGAATCTGAAAGGGAAACTCAAACCTGTATCTGCAAACTCTCAAACCAAGCTCTGCCTCCGTCAAGCCCTCAGCCTGCCAACAGCCTCTGGACCCTTCTGTTTCCCCCTCTCTGCCGCCCTGCTCAAACTCCAGATCAGGTACAGACCTGCACTCTCTCATCTTGCAACTTACCTGGATGTCAGCTAACCACTCTGTCCCCCTCTGCAGTTAACCCAGTCGTGACCAGTCCTGGACCTGATAACCCCTTGGATCAGTTCTTTATTCACTGTTTTTGTTCAATAAACCTTTGAACTTTTTCTCCTGAGTCCGTGTGTTCTGCATGTGGATTAGAAACCTTAAACCAAACATGACATAACACTCTGGCCAACAGACTAACTCATGCTATGATCAGACAAACCGCACATTACAGTAATTAACCGGCTATCTACGACATGCTACTCCAAGAGCGGAGCCAGCTCAACTTCCGGTTCAAGAGGCTAATCCTCCACTCAGGTCAGAACCTGGTCCGTCACTTCCTGAATTCCGCCCCTCACTTCCTGAGAAGTTTTCTGGCATCCCAAGTAAGTATAAAGGATTTTTGTTTCAATGCAAACTGATTTTTGAACATTCGCCTTCCAGTTTTCCAAACGACAAAAAGAAAATTGCCTTTATTCTATCACAGTTATCCGGAAAAGCCCTCGAGTGGGCGGAGGCCAGATTCTCTTCTGAATCCAGTTTTTCTTGTACTTTTGAAAAATCTTTCCAGGAATTCTCTCAAGTATTCAACCAAGACACTGATAAATCCACTGAATCTCGAGGTCTGTTGAATATAAAACAAGGAAATAGAACCGTAGCCGATTTTTCAATCGACTTCCGGGTCAAAGCTGCTACTTCCGGATGGAATGAATCCGCGCTTAAAAGTGCTTACTTCCACGCTTTAGATGAAGCAATTAAGGACAAACTGGCCACAATAGATGAGCCAGCAACCTTGGTGGAGTTCATCAGATTAACAATCCGCATGGATAACCGATTGCGAGCCAGGTTCAAGTCAAAAGTAAGAAGCCATGTTTTTTCTGTTCCTGCCCCAGCAACTAATATTAACGACACCTCTGTCCTTTCAGTGTCCTCAGAAGCTGATTCCAGACCAAGGAGCCAAAACCAACCTGTATCTGTTCCTGTTTCTAAGACTCATTTCGTCTCTCCCTCCACAGAAACCTCTGAAGTAGAGCCTATGCAGATCGGTCAGACTAGGCTCACAACCGAGGAGAGGCAAAGAAGAATTAAGGGGAATCTTTGTATGTATTGTGGAGAACCAGGTCACTTTGTGTCAACCTGCCCAGCTAAGGTAAAAGCCAGGGTCCGCCAGAGGAAATGAGGAGCCTGGCGGACCATCTTCAATCTGAAAAGTCTCCTCGCCTGCTGTTACCTGCTACCCTGTTTCTTTCGGATCAATCCCTCACACTATCTGCTTTTATTGACTCTGGATGTGAGAAGAACTTAATAGACTCTAATCTGGTTCAACAATTGAACTTAGAAACCACTCCTTTAAGTAAACCTCTTAGGGTTTCAGCCCTCGATGGAAAGAAGTTACCTCAGGTTACACACCAGACTAAGCTCCTTGAACTTCTAATCTCCGGAAACCACAGAAACGATATCATTCTTTGTTTTTCCATCTACCAGTTCATCATTAGTCCTCGGATATGAGTGGCTAGAACTTCACAATCCCCACATAAACTGGTCTAAAAAACATGTCGAGTCTTGGTCTGCATCCTGCCATGTTTCCTGTCTCCGTTCCGCAGCTCCTTCTATTCAATCCCCGGCCAGTCGTCAGGAGGCTGATCCGCCTGATTTATCTTCTGTACCTGGCACCAGTCTTCAGTAAGGTCAGTGCTCTATCTCTTCCCCCACATAGACCATATGACTGTGCCATAGATCTGTTACCTGGGGCTCCCCTCCCCAGTAGTCGACTCTATAATATCTCCAAGCCCGAGAGGGAGACCATGGAAAGGTATATAAACGAGTCCTTAGCCGGCGGAATCATTCGGCCTTCCTCATCTCCTCTCGGGGCTGGCTTCTTCTTTGTGGGTAAGAAGGATGGATCTCTGCGGCTGTGTATTGATTACAGAGGTTTGAACCAAATAACCATTAAAAACAAGTACCCTTTACCTCTGTTAGCATCTGCTTTTGAACCCGTCCAGGGAGCCACATATTTCACCAAGTTGGATCTAAGAAACGCCTATCATCTTCTCAGAATCAGAGAAGGAAACGAGTGGAAGACTGCAATTAAGACTCCTTTTGGGCAATTCGAGTATCTGGTAATGACTTTTGGTCTCACTAACGCTCCTGCCTGTTTTCAAGCCCTGGTTAACGATGTTTTGAGAGATTTTCTCAATATTTTTGTTTTTGTCTATATTGACGACATCCTGATATACTCCAAGAACATGTCTGAACATAAGAAACACGTCTGTTTGGTTTTCCAAAGACTCCTCGAAAACAAACTTTTTGTCAAAACTGAAAATTGTGAGTTTCACCGTCCTTCTGTTACCTTTCTAGGATTTTTGCTCGAGGGCGGGCAGGTGAAGCCGTCAGAAGACAAGATCAAGGCGGTTCTGGACTGGCCTACCCCCGAAAATCGCAAACAGCTACAAAGGTTTCATGGTTTTGCTAATTTCTACAGAAGGTTTATCAGAAATTACAGTCAGACTGCTCAGCCTCTCACTGCCCTGACATCGATCAAAAGAACATTCCACTGGTCTGCAGAGGCTGAGGCTGCATTTAATAAGCTCAAGGCTCTTTTTTCCAGTGCACCCATCCTCGTCCAACCTGACCCCTCCAAGCAGTTCATCCTGGAGGTGGATGCCTCTGATTCTGGGGTGGGGGCAGTCTTGTCTCAAGTATCTGAATCTGATCAAAAGACTCACCCATGCGCCTTTTTCTCCCGCAGACTTTCGCCTGCAGAGCAAAATTATGATGTCGGCGATAGAGAACTCCTTGCAATAAAACTGGCTCTGGAAGAATGGCGGCATTGGCTGGAGGGCGCAGAGCATCCCGTTCTGGTATAGACAGATCATAAGAACTTACTGAATACATTAACATATATTCAGTCAGCCAAAAGATCCAATCCCCGCCAGTCCCGTTGGTCTCTGTTTTTTTCCCCGCTTTAACCTGATTATCTCCTACCGGCCTGGTTCAAAAAACATCAAACCTGACTCTCTCTCTTGCCTGTACTCAGCCGACAAGCAAGAAACCCCGGACTCCGTTCTCCCTGCCAGCTGTACAGTGGCCACCATTTCCTGGGAGATCTCCGACCTGATCAAATTGGCCCAAGCTTCTGAACCCGACCCAGGAAATGGACCACCCAACAGGACGTACGTACCCTCTTCTGTCAGGTCCCGTCTCATCCACTGGATGCATTCAGCTAAATTCTCAGCTCACCCCGGTGTAAGCAGAACCATTGCCTTGATCTCTCGCTGTTTCTGGTGGCCTTAGTGTCCTTAGGTTATCAGCCACCCCTGTTTCCTGCCAATGAAAAGGAGATCTCTGTCTCATCTGTCAACCATCAGCTCTGCCGCTGCCGAAAAATTTGGAAGGACACCATATCTGCTCTGAACAGAACATCCGCTCAAAACAAGAAATTCTCAGACCGCAAATGACACCCTGCTCCCACCTACACATCCGGTCAACAGGTTTGGCTTTCCACTCGAGACATTCCCCTCAAGTCCATGTCCCGTAAACTCTCTCCTAGGTTCATCGGTCCATACAAGATTGAGTCCGTAATCAACCCGTCTGCCGTCCGCCTGCATCTGCCATCTTGGATCTCCGAATCCACCCTACATTCCACGTTTCCCAGATCAACCCTGTCCTGACCAGCCCTCTTTGCCCTCCGTCTGACTCCCCTGCACCCGCCCGGGACGTTGATGGTCACCCTGCCTTCACCATTCGCCGGATCGTGGACTCCGGTTGCCGTGGCCGCAGTTGGCAGTACCTGGTCGACTGGGAGGGCTATGGTCCAGAGGACCGCTCTTGGGTTCCTGGAGCCTTCATTTTGGACCCCGCCTTGATCCATGAATACCGTGAGTCTCTGCCATCTACTTCTTCTGGACCGCCAGGAGGCGGTCGTTGAGGGGGGGTACTGTTGGGATCTGGAGGTCTGCCCACTTTTCTCCACCAGAGGGTGTTCTAGGTCTCCTGGAGCTGGAGCTGACTTCACCACCTGCGGCTCGTTTGCTCATCAGGAGACCAGTACTTAAGGAGGCGGAGAGCTACACTCCGACGCCAGAGTGTTTGCCAGTTATGGTTAGCAAGCCTGAGCCAACCTGCCTGTCTGAATTTCTGACTCCCAGAAAACCTGAACCTAAACCTATTGTCCTCTCTGCTTCCCAGGTTGTACCTGCCTGAAACCAGAAACCCTGAAGAGTTTCTCTGTTGGAAATCTGTCTGTCTGATCTCTGAAGAACCCTGGAGAATCAAACCTGTCAAAGATCTGCCTGCCCGCTCTCTGAAGAATCTGAAAGGGAAACTCAAACCTGTATCTGCAAACTCTCAAACCAACCTCTGCCTCCGCCAAGCCCTCAGCCTGCCGACAGCCTCTGGACCCTTCTGGTTCCCCCTCTCTGTCGCTCTGCTCAAAATCCAGATCAGGTACAGACCTGCACTCTCTCATCCTGCAACTTACCTGGACGTCAGCTAACCACTCTGTCCCCCTCTGCAGATAACCCAGTCGTGACCATTCCTGGACCTGATAACCCCTTGGATCAGTTCTTTATTCACTGTGTTTTAGTTCAATAAACCTTTGAACCTTTTCTCCTGAGTCCGTGTGTTCTGCATGTGGGTTAGAAACCTTAAACCAAACATGACATAATGAGCATGACATAATTCAAGATTTACAACAATAGAATAAACTAATAATTAAGTAATTGTTTCCCTTTGATAAGAGAAATTCAAATTTTGCAAAGATTAAAAAGCTTATTTTACCTGAATGTTTGTGTGTAAATCAGGTCGACTAGTATTTAATTAAAACATATTTTTTATAATCGACTTTAACAGTCAAATTGTTTAGTTGGGATAATAGTTGCTCTTTCCTGGTTTTAGCTCTTGGTGTAAATCCTCAAATTCTGTCAGTACTTACAGAACTTTGTTTGAAGCTTTGACAACTGGCAGCAGCCTGAGAAGAGCCTCCTCTGAAGCAGAGTATTTCTTCAGGTCAAACACCTCCAGATCTTCTCCTGATGTCACTAAGATGAAGGCTAGAGCTGACCACTGAGCAGGAGACAGCTTATCTGTGGAGAGACTTCCTGATCTCAGAGCCTTTTGGATCTCCTTGACCAGAGAACGATCATTCAGTTCATTCAGACAGTGCAACAGGTTGATGCTTTTTTCTGCAGACAGATTCTCATTTATCTTCTCCTTGATGTACTGAACTGTTTCCTGATTGGTCAATGAGCTACTTCGTGCCTTGGTCATCAGACCTTGTAGGAGAGTCTGATTGGTCTGCAGTGAAAGACCCAGGAGGAAGCGGAGGAATAAGTCCAGGTGTCCATTTGGACTCTGCAAGGCCTTGTCTACAGCACTCTGATGGAGAATTCTTGGTTTTGCTGTCTTAGATAATTTAGATAAAAAATAAGTCTTTTTTTGTTCTTCTTCCATCAGGTTGATTCCACGAGTGATGAAGGTCCGGTGAACATGAAGAGCAGCCAGAAACTCCTGAACACTCAGATGGATGAAGCAGAACACCTTGTCCTGGTTCTGGTACAGTCCTCTCTCCTCTTTAAAGATCTGTGTGAATACTCCAGAGTAAACTGAGGCTGCTTTGATATCGATGCCACATTCTGTCAGGTCTGATTCATAGAAGATCAGGTTTCCTTTCTGCAGCTGAT